CCCCAAAACCCCAAAACCCCAAAACCCCAAAACCCCAAAACCCCAAAACCCCAAAACCCCAGTTATTTTAAACATTTAATATTTCTAAAAATGGAAAAATCTGATGCAAAAATAACCAACACTAGAGGTAAATGCCTCTCGTGATTCAGAGAAAAAGCTCATATCTTTACAATTTTATGTGGACATGGTTTTTGAGCAATTTGAACAATACAAAACTTGAATATATGCAAGCTGCTCTTCTTCGAGAAGCACTCAGCTAGTGACAAGTTCACTCGATGAGTGATCTGAAAAACTTCCTGTCTCATAGATTCAGAGACATTTATCAAAATTGCTAAACAGGCTAGCATAGACAGGAAAATTCATACCTCAGAGGAAGACAGAGAGTTAATGAAATAAATGTGATGGTTGAAAATTTATGTACAAAGAAGAGATCATTTCAAAGAAGTTGATCAATGATAAGATCACTAATCTCTGCCCTAACTGCAAAATCTCCTCTCTCCAAGGCGATAAAGATGCTCTAAATCCTCAGATAATCCCTGAAAACTATGAAGACATTATGAAAGATGTTAAAAACTGGATACAGATCTATAAATCAGCAGAAGATGACCAGCAGAGGCAAAAGAGTCTCTTCCTAAAATAAATTAGAAGCAGATTTTAATTTCTTAAGGAAGACTATTGAGAAAAAGTACACACAGACTAAAGCTAAGATCGAGAAGACTTTTGCACAGACAAACCCATATCTTAGTGGGTTCCTTAATATTAATGAGCGGATTGAAGACCTTATTTATCTCCAGCCTAAGACTGACGCTGATTTTGAAAGAAGACAAAAACTTTTTAGTGAATTGTTAGAGGAAGTGGATATACATGACTGAAACTAACAAAATAACTGGGACAGAATTTGACTTATCACAAAGCTTTCTGGATAATCAGCCGATCCTTGAGCTTACAGGTAAAGCCTCCTTCAATATATCTTTAGAAGTGATAATGAAACGTTATGATTTCAGACCACTCAGGATGGATGAGTTATAGATAGGTTTGAAACAATGTTTGAATATTCAAAGATTTTAGATAAATAACTCTCTGCCTAATATCGTCAGTTATTTGCCAAAATTAAGAATGTCCTCCCTTTTGTTCCAAGTAGATACAACACAAGAGAAGATATCTCCAATGGACTTTCATGATGAATGAGATGATAAAGGTCCAACTTTAATGATCGTCAAGACCAAAAATGATAAAATATTTGGTGCTTATTGACCTGTATCGTGGATTAGTGAAAATATGTAAGAATAGATGTGATTAGTCTAGGTATACTGAAACAGAAGAATCATTCATATTTACACTTGACAATAATGTATTTACAATGTACAATATATTTGAACCGCTCTTAGCAGTTAAGCAGAGTCAGTATCAATATTCACCCTGATTTGGTGAAGTTGATAAAGCAGATCTATTCATTTCCTTCAAATATCCACAAAAGAGTTATGGTAGGGCATTTTTAAATTTTAGCAATGCTGGGGAATGTGTATAAGAAGATAATCCATCCTGACATCATCATCAAAGAGAAGCTCGAAGTCAATTATATTGAAATTTACGCCGTAAATTTTGAATAAGTTAGACTCTAATGAATAAGGTTCAATCTTTTACTAAAGCATAGGGGTTTTGGGGTTTTGGGGTTTTGGGGTTTTGGGGTTTTGGGGTTTTGGGG